ATGCTTATCTATGCTGTTACGCTTACGTATCTGTCAAGTGAACCACAGTGATAGTACGGAAGATGGGAGGGAGAAATTCATTCTATTTGGTAGTAAGATACTTGTGCTGTGAAGCAAGATAGTTTGTTCTTTGAAGTTAGAGCTGGACTACTTCTACATGTGTATTGTAAACTCTAGGACAACCACTAGAAAAGGTAAAAAAAGAAAAGAAAAAAATTAAATCATATAAAATAGTCAATTAAAATTACAAAAGGCGGAAAAAAGTAGACAAAAATAACAGAGAACAAAGGAAGGAATGGAAAAGTAACAAATATGTTAGCTATTACAGCAATACATTAATAATCACTTTAAATGTCAATGGTCTAAATATACCAATTAAAAGACAGGGGTTGTCAGAGAGGATCTGAAAAAGAAAAAAAAGACCAGAGTAACTATATGTTGTTTATAAGAAATCTACTTTAAATATTATGACAAATATAGACTAAAAGTAAAGAGGCGGAGAAAGAGATACCATTCCAATACCAATCAAAAGACAACAGGACAGCTATTTTAATTTCAGACAGAGCAGACTTCAGAACAAGAAAAGTTATCAGGGATAAAGAAGGGCAATGCATAGTGATAAAAAGGTCAATTCTCCAAGATGCCATAATGATCTTTAACGTGTAAGCACCTAACAACAGGGCATCAAAATACATGAGACAAAAACTAAAAGAACTTCAAGGAAAAACAGATGAAGCCACCATTAGAGGTCGAGATTTCAACACTTCTCTGTTAGAAATGGACAGATCCAGAAGGCAAAAAAGTCAGTAAAGCATAGCTGAACTCAACACCACCACCCATTAACTGGATATAACTGACATTTATAGGCTACCTCATTCAATGACAGGACAATACACATTCTTCTCAAGCTCACATGGAACATGCACCACAAGAGACCACATTCTAAACTGAAAAACACACCTTAACAAATTTAAAAGAACACTAACATATAACATCTGCTCTCAGATTACAATGAAACTATAAATAAATAAATAACAAAGACAGCTGGAAAATCCCAAAATATCTGGAGGTTAAACAACAGACTCCTAAATAACACATGAGTCAAAGAACAAATCTCAGGTGAAATAAGAACAGATTTTGAATTAAATGAAGATAAAAATACAACTTATCTAAATGTTTGTAATTCAGTGAAAGCAGTGTTTGGAGGAAAACTTACAGACTTGAGAATGACAAAAGAATAGAGACCTAAAATCAAACGTCTAAGCTTCCATCTCAGGAAAGCAGCAGAAGAGCAGATTAAATTCCAAGGAAGCAGAAGAAAAGAAATAATAATTATTAGAGCAGATACCTAAGAGGTAAATAAAAGGAAATAGGGGGAAAAAAGCTGAGTCTTGGAAAAGATCAATAAAATCAGTAAGCCTCTAGGCAGACTAAGAAAAGAGAGAGGACACAAATTACAAATATCAGAAATGAGGAAGAGCTGAGGGAGGGAAGGAGGGAGGGGGCAAGGGAAAGTGGTGGGGGGGAGGCAGAGACAAATGTATTTGAAAAAATATATTAAAATAAAATTAAAAAAAAAAACTCTACTTGTTAAAAAAAAAAAAAAGAAAGAAATGAAATAAGGAGTCATGGTGGAGCCCATGGGCATTAAAAGGAGAATAAAGGAATGCTATGGATGTCTCTGCATAAATTTGATAACCTAGTTGAATGGACACAATCTACCAAAACTCAGACAAGATCACATAGATTATTTTACCAGGCCTGTATCTATTAAAGATATGGGATCAATATTTATTAACCTTCCAAACAGAAAGCACCAGGTTCAAATGGGTTCATTGGTGAATTCTACCAAACATTTAAGAAAGAAATGATACTAATTCACTACAATCTCTTCCAGAAGATAGAAGCAGAGGGAATACCTCCTAACTCACACTCTGAGGCCAGCACTACCTCAGTAACAGAATAAGACAAAGACATTTCAAGAAAAGAAAACTACAAACCGATACCTCTTATGAACATAAATGCAAAAATCCTCAGGTAAATATTGGCAAATTAAATTCAGCAATGTATAAAAACAATTATACACCATGATCAAGTAGGATTTATCCCAGGTATGCAAGGATTTATCCATCATATTAATAGATACAGGTAGGGCATTTGACAAAATCTAATACCCATTCATTATAAAAACTCTCAGTAAACCAGAAATAGAGGGGAAACTTCTTCAACTTGCCAAGGAACACCTACAAGAAACCTACAATTCCATCATACTTAATGGTGAGAAACTAGAGCTTTGATCAGAACAAGGCAAGAACGGCCTCTCTCAGCACTCCTGTTCAGCCTCATAATAGAAGTCCTAGCTAATGCAGAAAGACAAGAACAGCCAAGGGGTAATATTGATTGAGAAGAAAGAAGTAAAACTGTCTTTGCTCACAGACAACATCACTGTCTATGTAGAAAATCTGAAAGAATCAACAAAAAAATTCCTGGAAGCAGTAAATAATTAAACAAGATTTGAGGATACAAGGTTACTACACAAAAGTCAATTCTTTCCTATATATGAACAATGAACAAGGGGATTTTGACATTAAAAATACAATATCACTTCCATTAGCATGCCCCACCCCCAAATGACATATTTTGGTACAAATCTAACAAAACAGCCATAGAATTTATATGAGCAAAACTATAAAACTGTGATTTAAAAAACTGTACAGGTACTAAATAAATGGAGAGAGATTAAAGACTCAATATTGTCAAGATGTTAATTCCTAACAACTTGATCTTTAGAGTCAAACAATCCAAATAAAAATCCCAGAAAGTGGTTTTGTGGGTATCAAACAAGCTGATTCTACAGTTTATACAGAAAGGCCAAAACCCTAGAAGAGCCAACACCATACCAAGGGGAAGGACAAAATGGGAGGACTGATGCTACCCAAATTTAAGACTCAGTATAAAGCTAAAGTAATCAAAGCAGTGCAATACTGGGGAAAGAATAGAAAAAAACAAATCTGTGAAGTAGGGTAGGGGGCACAGACACAGACCTAGAGATAGAGTCAACTGATCTTTGCCAAAGGGCCAAAGGCAGTAAGTCAACACGAAGGAGCAAAGTCAGTCTTTTCAACAGACATTACTGAAACAACTGGGCATCCACAAGCGAGGGGGGAAAAAAAAAAAAAGTCTAGATAAAGACCTTACACTCTTCCCAAAAAGATCACAGACCTAAAATTATGGAATGCAAAATTGTAAAATCAAAGAAGATAATAGGAAAAAATTTAGGTGACCTTAGTTATAGGGGTGACTTTTCAAATACAATATCAAAGGCAAGATCCATGAAAGAGCTGATGAGCTGAACTTTATTAAAAACAAAATTTTAGCCTTGGAATGTGTGGCTCAGTGGATTCAGCGCTGGCCTGCAAACAGGAGGGTCACTGGTTTGATTCTGGTCAGGGCACATGCCTGGGTTGTGGGTCAGGTCCCCAGCTGAGGGTGTGTGAGAGGCAGCTGATCAATGTTTCTCTCCCTCTCTTTCTCCCCCCTTCTCTTCTCTCTAAAAGTAAATAAATAAAATCTTCTTTAAAAAATTTAAAATTTTATGCTCTGGGGAAGACCCTGTCAAGATAATGAGAAGATAAGGCACAGCCTGCAAGAAAATATTTGCAAACAATATATCTGATAAAGACCTGTTATCTAAAATACACAAAGAACTCTTACAACTCAACAGTGAGAAAGTAAACAACCCAATTATAAAATGGGCCAAAGACCTTAAAAGACACTTCTCCAAAGAAGACACACACATGCCAAATCAACACATGAAAAGATGCTCCACCCGATGTCATCAGGGAAAGAGACATTAAAACAAGACCACACTACTTCCAAACTATTAAAACGGTCCATGTCAAAAACAATGGCAACACGGAATGCTGCTTTGGATGTGGAGCAAAAGGAACTCTCATTCATTGCTGTGGGAATGCAAAATAGCATAGCCACTTTTGAAAAATACTTTGGTGGTTTCTTACAAAAATAAACGTATTCCTGCCATATGATCCAGCTGTCTTACTCCCTGGTATTTACCCAAATGAACTGAAACTTGTGTCCACACAGAACCTGCACACAGATGTTTAGAGCAGCTTTATTCACAATTGCCAAAACCTGGAAACAACTAAGATGTCCTTTGGTTGGTGAGCAGATAAATAAACTTTGGAACATCAGACAGTACAATACTATTCCGTGATAAACCCAAACATGCTATCTAGCCACGAAAAGACACAAAGGAACCTTCCATGTAGGTTACTAACTGAAAGAGGGCAATCTGAAAAAGCTACATATTGTGTGATTCCAACCGTACGACATTCTGGAAAAGGAAAGAACCATGGAGACAGCAGCAGGATTAGTGGTTGCCAGGGACTGGGGGTGGGGGGTGGGGAGGGGTGAACAGGCAGAGCCCAGCGGGTTTCTGGAGCAGTAAAGCTATTCTGAGTGACACTAGAATGGTGGATCCATGTCACTGAATACACAACACCAAGTGTGAGTCCTAATGGAAACCACGGACTTCGGGTGATCATGATACATCGGTGTTGGTTCACGGACTTGAGCAAACGTGCCCCCTGGTGGGGGAGGCTGGGTATGTGTGGGGGCAGGGAGTATGTGGACATTTCTGTGCCTTCTGCTCAATTTTGCTGTGAACGTAAACCTGCTCTAAAAAAGAAAACCTCTCAAAAAACCCCTGTGAACTGATACATACCATCCTGTATTTTCTATTTCATTCTACTTTTTCTTTCAACAGATTCTGGTTGCCCCCCTGTAAACTTATTTTATTACCCACCCAAAGGACGTGAGCACAACACTGCTCTTGGACAGCGTCTCCATCTGCCGTACGGAATCCACGCTCTACCCCACTGGCTCCACATTCAGCTTGTCCACAGTTAGCGGACAAAATGCCTCCCCACCGCCAGGCACCGGCTCCAGACGGAACCGGCGCCTGCGGGCCGCGGTCGTACCTGGAGGGAGCGTCTCCACGCTCTGCGCCTTCTCCTCCCCGTGGCTGTGGTGAAGGTCTTTCTTTTTAATTGGGTCAATTTCATTCCAGTCCTCCTGGGGGAACAAAGACACCCAGTGAGTTGATTGGTTCCTCGAGTGCATCTTCATTCATCATCAGTTTAATAAACACTGGGTCTTAGGAGGCCCATGAACCCCGCGGATGCGGACGCGCGAGACTGAGTGGTGGAGAATCCCCACCTCCGGCACCTGCCTCCCAGAACTTCTCAAGCGGAAGAGATGCAGGAGGAGAAAAGTGTGGGAATGGCTTTTTCTAAGGGAGGATGTGCATTTCTCTCTTCATCTTCTAACACTGCATCGTACCTCTATGGGAAAGAAAAACTCTGGAAACTCCCAGGGCTTTGAGGATTTGTGGGACTGGGGAAAGGAGATAGGGAAAGTGGGTTAAATAAAAGAATTTAATAGTGCTTAAATTAAAGCTCTTAAAATTGGGGTAGCTCTCTAGGCACCTTAGGTGGTTTAAGGACACCCTAGGACCAGATGGTCCCGAAGGGCCCTCCTTAGAGGTTGTTAAATGATTGGTTTCAGTTCCTTCCCAGTAACAGAGGAGGGAGGGAAAAGACCTGTGAGGGCTTACTCTAATAGGAGTAACCTATTAAGAGTAGCCGACGGAACAGAGCTGCAAATTAAGGGCTGAATGTGAAACCAGAATGAGACAGAAGCCCGGGCAGAACGTATTCAACTCATCTGCGCAAACAATTCACTCTAATCTATCAACATGAAATCAAACTAAGTAACAACTACACGACCACGGAGCTCAATGTGTTTTTCGATCACTTGAAATCTGATTCCTGTGACTAAAATGAGAAAGGTTTCCGTACAGAACCCCAGTCCGAAATACCCCGTGGGTGGTAATTTCCCCGCCCCCACGTCTGGGGGTCAAGCACTGTCCCCTGGCCGTTTTCCTGCGCACAGGCTTTCAGGGTGGCCCCCTGCAGCATGAAGATCCCTCAGGGCGGACCCAGGGAGCACGGGCTGTTCAACCAGCATTCCCCCCGCTTGCAGGGGCTGTGGGCTGCGCACATGCAGACCCCCGGCGACTTTGGGCCCTTGAAAATGTAAAGTGAAAGCTGCAAGAAGGGGAACCCTTGGGGTCAGGCCAGATCATACTTTATTCCCAAAGGCAACCGGCTCTGCCAAAAATCTGCATTTTTACTTGAAAGGTAGAGCAGTGGAAAGAAAACTGCGCCTAGACTTGCGCCTCCTGGAGGCCGGCCTTCTCTGTGGTGGCTCCTGCAGTGAAGGGACCCCGCAGGGCCCACCCTCGGGGCCACACGGGACTGTCGGGCGGGCGCCCGCTGCGCCGCGGCGCCACTGCAGGCCGGGCCGGTGGGAGGGGCCGCCCTGCACGCTGGTGGTCCTAGCCCCAGCCCGGCACACGGCCTCTCAGGCCGTCCAGGACCCCAAGCACTGAGATGTCTGAAGGTCTAGCCCATGTCATAATGTTGCATTTAAATTCATCTGTATCCCGATTAATATTTTTTTTGCTGCAAAAAATATCTGAATAATATTTACAATTCAGCTGCTGAGAGTACGTGGTCATAAATAAACTTTCGATTCTCTTTCACAGTGATTGTGCGGCCATCTTGGCAAACGCGTGGTGGAGTGAGAGCATCTCGCCTGCGAACTGCCTTTGACAGCGGGAAGCGTGTGTGAATACGACGGTCAGCAAGGAATGGAGGCCCCACAGTCGCACCGCGCTGGCTTTTAGTGAAGCATTAGTAACTCCCATTTTGTAACACTCTGTGGCTAATAATTTTTGTTTGCAGGCACTTGGCTTACAACAAACATCGCCTAATGGATCAACCATTTCACCTTGTACTTGAGAAAACTCAGAAGCGCCCCTCGCTGGTGGGGCCCCTGGCTTGGGTCTTACTTTCTCCGTGTGAGAATCAAGGCCTTCTCTGCAGCGTTCACCGCGTCAACAGCTGCATCGGTGCTTTCTCAGAACTGTTTCCTCCCACACACAAGGCGGACTCGTCCACGCGTAACACTGCTTGACGCCCCTTTCCCTCCCAATCACCACACCCACCGTACTTCCCGGCAGAGACAGGACCTGCGTCGACCTGGGGCACCGCGCAGCTGCACGCAGGTGGAAGGATGCTAAGTGCCCCTGAGGCGAGCTGCAGGCGCCAGGCCTCGTACACGCACGGTCAGCCACGCCTGCAGCAGACCTGGCCTTTGATCAAATTCCTGCTTTACAGCGCGGACACAGATAACCAGAGCAGTTAAGGTGCAGAGGACCAGGCTCACTACCTGTCCCTGGGGTAAAATGACACCCAGGACGACGAGGAAGAGCAAGGAAAGCAGGGGCCGCACAGCCGCGGTCTGACACTCACACAGCGTTGCTAGGGGCCAAGCCCCACTCCGGTCACGTCGCGCACGTTAATCTTCCCTACAGAGCCGTCACAGCCCCGCTTCACGGATGAGGAAGCCGGGGCAACACAAAGTACATAGTGAGCCTAGACTGGAGCCGCAGGGAATCCGTGCTGGAGCCCACGGTCCCAGTGACGCCACCGCACAGCTTCGCGTCCACCGACAGCCAGCCAAGGTCACAGCGCATTAACCGCCCGTCTCAGGGTGTCTCGCTGGATTCACAGGCTGAGGCAGCGCCCACCCACATACTGACAGCTTCCAGACACTCGTCATTTTCCACTCTCTCCTTGTCACCCACAGCCTTTGTTGGATAGTAAGGAAGTCCCTAGAGATACAGCAGAGCCAGGCAGCTTCGCCGTGGGGGAGTGTTCACAGCCGGGCTCAGACAAGCACGGGGCAACGAGAGCACAGCGCCGCGCATCCCGCACTGGGAGGACGAGGCGCCAGCAAGCGCGTTGGGAAGCGCGTGCATGAGAAGTGACACCTTAGCAGGGACCGGAGGGAGTCAAGAACTGAGCTGGCAAGGAGAAACGATGCCGGTGGGGGAGGGGTGGGGAGAGGATGGCTCGGGATGGAGGGAAGGAAAGGCCAGGCAGGCAATGGGAAGCCATGGAGGTGCAAGATAGCCTGAGACTTGAGACGTGTGGTCTAGAAACATCGCTCTGGCTGGGCTATGGGGAGCAGACTGGAGGGGACCAGGAGAGAGGCCAGGAGGCCGCGATGGCAATGCAGCAAGGGAACGTGTGGCTCAAAGTCCTGGAGACACAGACAGGGGACAGGCAGAGCGGGGCGCGGGTGGAAGAGGAGGGACGCACGGACGGATGGAAGCAGAGATGGCAGGCCGACGGTGTGAACACTTCACAGACGGGGGTACGACTCGCGGAGAAAAACGTGAGGAAGCGTTCTCCGTGGGGTCAGGAGCGGCGCGAGGGAGTAAAGACAAGTTGGTGTGGGCAATGTCGAGGCTGCTGTGAGGTGCCAGGAGGAGGTACCCAGGAAATAGCTGGAGACACGCGCCTGCAACTCTGGGAAGGCGGGAGGTTAAGTACAGGTACGGGAGAGCACCAGGGAGACCAGAGAGGGTACGAGCTGAGAGAACAGGGTCCAGGGGTGGGGGCGGGGTGGGGGACGCCAACATTTAAGGGACAAGTAGGACACAGGGCATGGTGGGAAGAGCCCTGGCCTAAGAGCCAGAGCCCTGGGTTCCAGCCACGGCTTTGCCAGCGACTGCTGGGTCTGAGCAAATCACCTAACTTCCCCAACATCGGACGCTGGGCTACGTGCCTCAAGCTCCCTGCTTGCCCGAGCATAGCCGGGTAGCAGGTCTACGCCACACTTCACTATAGTTTCTGCCTATTTCACACATGTTAGAGATCCAAATACATTTCAGGTCCTTTGAGGGCAGGAGAGGTGTTCCATTTCTTTTGTACCCAAAGAGCACTACGAATGCTTACTATAGTTGCTCAATGATAAATGCAGTTGGAAAAAAAAAACACGTTCACTGTACTTCCCAGACCGCTTTTCCTGGCTTTGCCCACTGTGCAGGGGAAGCGTGTCCTTAGGACAGTGCTCCCTGCTTCCCCACCTCGCCCCCGCCCCGCATTTACACCATGAGACTTCACAGCAGTGGAGGCTCCACTTAAAATGGAAACGTGCTGATCGCAAATGCAAGGAGGCGGCTCTCCTGCCTAGTGGTATCCAGGATGCACTACCAACTGCTCTGTCTGTTTTCTGCCTGTTACATGGCGTGGGACAGGCCCTCTTCCCAGTGACAAGTACAAACGGCTGAGATTGAGGAGTAATGATGTGGTTTGATGGCGGGTCAAAAGTTGCGGAGAATTCAAAGCCGGTGATCCAGTGAACGAGCTGGTATTTCCCAGGATGCAGACCCGTCTCCGCTTGGCTTCCCCTGCCCTGGGGCGGGGCGGGGGGCGTGCCAGCACGGAATCAGTAATGACTAACCCGAGACAGACAAGGCTCCAGACTAACACAGACAAGGCAGACCGGCGTTCTGACGGCAAGCGGAGTCGTCGCGGCAGTTCACCCAGGGTCTGGACTGCCCACCGACTCAGGCCATGCGGAGCCCGGGCCGGGGCGGGGGCGGGCTCAGTTGTTGGAGCATCGTCCCACACACCAAAAGCTTGAGGGTTCGATCCCCGGTCGAGGTGTATGAGGGAGGCAACGGACCAATGTTTCTCTCTCACATTGATGTTTCTCTGTCTCATATCAATAAAAACATATGGTCAGTCCCCTGCAACTGGCATTTCAGGCAATGCCGGCCCTCGGTCCTGCCCCCTGCTTACCACCTTGCCCAGGCCTGCGGGCATCGCCAGACCCCTGACCCCGGGCAGCTCCCCCGGTCTACGCGCTCACATGCGCGCCTGCCCGCCTGTCCTCACCGCAGAGGCAGCCTGTCACTCGGCGCCCGGATGGAGTTAAGTCAGGCCTGGAGCGGGAGCAGACAGACACACACGACTGCGTGATGCCTGCTTCTCAACTGCAATTAGACAGGACAGCAGCCATATTCAGCCTATTTCAAAGCAGATAAAAGAGCAATGGCTTTTAATAAAGTGACATTATTTTCAGAAACAGTAACTCCAATTGGCTTATTGGATAGTTACAAAAATTAATTAAGTGTAAATATAGGTTTAATTATGAAA